CTGAGTATACTTTTCGAATAATTTGACTTTTGGAAGCACGCTAATGTTCCACATATTAAAAAAAAAACAACAAAAATGAGGCAGAAGAAGTTAAATGGGATTATTTTTGAATCTGCTCTAATTCACTTTAAAATATTTTAACTTTCAGAAAACTGGGGGGAAAGCAACATGTGATCTCTTTACTTTTCAGAAGAAGGCAGGGATTACAGACAGGCAGAATAATTTTATAATGTTCCCAACGAAAAATTAGCCAAAGGACCCTCAATTTCCAATTCAGGACTGAAACCACGGAAGAGTCAAAGTTCAAGTCTGAAGTCAATCGGACACACAAAAAGAGAGAAGGTTTAGCGACCTTCTGTGAGAGGACCAACTTTGCGGCGAGGGCCACGTGCCTCAAGGCCCTGCAATCACATCCACCACTGCGTTCCAAGCATGAGCTAGTGTTAGACCGCTCAGGGGGATGAGATCATGGAGATGAGATCAGGGCTTATGGAAATTACCTTACGGAGGCTGACGGGCCAGCATGCCCCATTAGTATCAAGAACTAGCAGCGAGGGGCAGTCAGCCCAGAAGAGGAGGTTTACCCACATGCAATCTCCAGTCTTGGAGAATTTCTTGAGCCAGTTTAGATTTAACAGAACCCAAGCCCAGCTCCCACCACAAAACAAAGGAGGAAATCAGGAGCTGGGAAGGAGTTTCCATGGCTCTCCTGTGGAGTCTCCGCTGAGGAGGTTCCCGTGCTCGTTTTAAAGGACGCTCTGCTGTTTGTCTTCGAAATCCCCCAGCATAGCAGGCCCGCTTTCCTTTCCATGTGCAGAAAAAGACATGGTGGGCACCACTGCAGTGTGTACCGGTACGGCTCACGCAATTCAGTGTCCTGGGGCAGTAGCCTCAATTGGAGGATTTTATCAGGATGGGAAAGAAGGATAAAAACATGGTTTCCTCTAAAAACTTACAAGGGAGCTAGAGTATGGCCTTTCGGCAGATCGATTCACAAATAGTTCTTGAGTTAGAAAGTAACAGGATAATCAGGATTAGAAGGAGCTGCTGAAAGTTGAACTCGCAAAGAAGTCCCAGACTGTGGGAATGATGACCCATAAACTGCTATTTAGAAAGGGCT